GGGGGGGGGGGAGGGAGGTTTGGGCTCTCTCCAACATTCTACCAGTGCCAGGAGAACTCTTTCCCCCACTCTTGTGCTCAGTAGCTCTACCAGGACCCCCATCCTTCAAGCCCTCCCTTATCTGAGACCACTCCCCAGGGCAATTCTGGAAAGTGTCAAGGGAGGGCCAGGAGTGGAGCATTAGGTCCACTGAGAGGATAGTCCATGTGTGATACGAGGGCCTCAAGCTATATCCCCTCTGGAGTCACCACGTTGCCTGAGATTCACCGCTTTAAATGTCCCTGGATTAATAAGGCATAGTCCCCTGTGGATGGGGATGGAGCTGCGTGGCAGAGGGAACAGGCTTGGGCTTGGGAGTGGGACAGACCTGGCTTCCTTCCAGTTCTACAACTGAGCTTCAGTTTACTCTTTTTTTAAAAACAAACAAACATATCTTTATTGATTTCAGAGAGAGGAAAGGAGAGGGAGAGAGAGAGAGAGAAACATCAATGATGAAAGAGTCATCGATCGGCTGCCTGGCCTGCAACCTGGGCATGTGCCCTGACTGGGAATCGAACCCCAATCTCCTGGATCCTAGGTCGATGCTCAACCACTGAGCCACACCTGGCCGGGCCAGTTTGCTCTTATATTAAATAGGTATCTTCCCTCCTGTGGATGCTGTCACCTGGGCCTCTTTGCCTGATCCCCAGGGAGCTGGCTGAGAGAGCTGAGGGGAGGGGGATGCATCACCTTGCAGGGAGAACATCTGGCACATAATAGGTCTACTTCACGTGGTGCGCCTGATGCACAGAAGGAGCATTTTATGTGGAGTAACCAGCACATACTAGGCATGCTTTATATAGTATGTCAGGTACTCAGTAGGCACTTTTAATGTAGAATGTCTGGCACACAGCAGGCATGCTTTACATGCAGCACCCTGCATGCAGTAGGTGTGCTTTATATAGAGCTCCTGGCACTTAGTAGGCATGCCTTATGGAGAGTGTCCAGCATACAGTAGACAGGCTTTACGTACAACACTTAGTATATAGTAGACAGTATATATTAGAGTACTTGACACACAGTAGATGCACTTTATATAGCACACCTGGCACATAGTAGGCACACTTTATGTAGTGCACCTGACACACAGTAGGCATGTTTTTTAAATTACCCAGTACACAGTAGGCACACTCTGTGGAGAGTAGCTGGCACACAGATGTGCTTTATACAGAGCACCTGGCACACAGTAGGCAAACTTTATGTAGAGTACCTGGAACTGAGTAGGGATACTCTCTGAAGTACCCAGCACATAGTAGGCATGCTTTATGTAGAGTGCCCAGCACACAGTAGGCACACTGCAGTCAATTGTGCAGAGTAGGTTTACTTTCTGTGGTGTACTGTTACCCAGCAGCACAAGAACTAGCTGTCAGCTCGTTCCTTTCACTCCAACATTTTGGGGGCTCCTGATCCCTCCTTCCTGTGTAACCCTTCTCTGCCTCCCTCTCAAGACCTCATTCAACAGCCCGCATGGAAGGCTGAACCCAGAGGGGACTGGCACAGCCAGCAGTCAGAGCGAGGGCAGGGTTAAACTCCCTCAGGGTCTCCCAGCTCTGCCCCCTCTGTGTGGACCCCTCAGACTTAGGTACCCTCTTCCCACTGGGTCCTTCCTGCCCTGAATCTGACGGGATAGTCCCAGCCAGCCTGCTTTGCTCGTTTCTATTTTCAGCAGGCAGGTCTCAGCCCAGGCTCCGGGCTGTTTGAAGGCAGGACTTGAATTTCTGCCAGGCTGTGCGCCGCGGAGGCCAGAGGCTTTTGCCTCTGAGTTCCAGGATTCTAAGCCAGGAAACTGCACGACAAGCTCCGGGCCAGCTTGGGGAGAGGAGGCAGGCAGATGTCTGGCACAAGGCTCACCTGGCAATTAAACAGTAAAGTTCAAGCTTTTACCTGCCACACCCTGGTCTCGGGAGGGTAGGGGAGGCAGTAAACTTGGGGACCCAGAATCACTTTTGCCTACCCCCCAACCAGCCTCCGATCCCACTGAGGGGTCCTAAGTCCTGAGGATCCAGGGTCCACACTGTGACACTGAGCTAGTTTTAGGCCTGTATTGACAGCACTGTAGCCCCTCCCCCACCCTCTATTTGAGCCAGTGTCAATTGGGGTGGAGGTTAGCAGGTGCCTGGGGATTGGTTGGTTTAGCCCAGTCCCTCTTAACCTCTCTCAGATCATAAACCAGGGGCAAAGGCTCCCCAGGAGGAGGGGAGAGGAGGCTGTGTGCCACTAGCTGCTCCAGGCTGAAGGTGCCAGTCTCAGGGCCAGGGAACTGGGGGTCCTGGCCCAGGGTGGGGAGAGGTGTTGCTCAAGGCGGAGGTGGCTCCAGGGAGTGGAGCTGTCCTGGGAGTTGAGTGGATAACAGTGGGTAATTTAATTCTCTATCTCTCCCTCTGTCTCTCTCTCTGTGTCTCTGTCTCCCCCCTCTTTGTCTCTCTCTCCCTTTCCCTTCTCTGTATTTCCCTGGGTCTCCCTTCCTTCCTGAGCCCCAATTCGCCCATCCCTGCCCTGTCCCCAACACTCACCTGGCCCTCCCTGCCCCTGTTCCTCACGCCCTTGGCCCTCTCCCTGTTTGTAAGCTGGTCTCTGCCCCTGGGCTCACCGTTACCCCCCTGTCTCCGGCCTCAGGAGCTCACCCTCTGTCTGGCCTGCAAGATGCTGCAGCTGAGCCTGTCCTGGCTGGGACTGGGGCCGCCAGCAGCCTCCCCGTGGCTACTCCTGCTGCTGCTGGGAGCCTCCTGGTTCCTGATCCGCTTCCTGACCTGGACCTACACCACCTATGACAACTCTCGCCGCCTCCGATGTTTCCCGCAGCCCCCGAAGCGGAGCTGGTTTTGGGGTCACCTGGGCATGGTGAGTGTGGACATCAGGACAAGTCTGGGCTATCAGGGTGGGTGGACTCCGCAAGGGGTTGGGATTGAGCCTCCGAGGCTAGGCTGGGCTGAGGTCGAGGACAGCAGAGAAGTGAGGGGTCAAGGGGAGCACCTCTTTTCTCATTCATTCCTCCACTCCGACATCCCAGGCTTTTCCCGCTCCTTGGCCTCTCCCCAGCCTACTTTGCGTCCATTTCCTGCCTGCCTCCCCCACACTGGTGCACCTCTGAGGGGCTCCCGGGGTGGGTTGCACAGAGCTGGGTCCCCTAGGATTCCCGGTGTCCACACTTACCCTTGAGAGCACTTCAGGGGCGCTGTCCAGGGTTTGCTCCCTGTGTCTGCTCACCCCCACCCCCAAGGGTCCCTCATCTTCCTGGCATACCTTCCTCTTATTTTACTCTTCTGTCCTAAGACATTTCAAGGAACTTGTTGCACAACCTGGTTAAAGCTGGCCACTCATTTCTCCTTTCGGAAGCCTTCTTCAACTCCCTGCCCATACCCCAGACTTTGAGTTTTGACTTGACCCCGCTCCTTTTTAATTATACATTTATTTTTCTAATTCATTGTTATCTGGCTCTCCAACCTGATGGTAGCTCTGGGGAGCAGACACTCTCTCTGCAGCTCCCTGGCATACATCAGGCACTTAACAAATGTTTGAGCCCCTAAGTGATGAATTTGCCATCACCTCCCTCAGTCAGGGCCAACCGGGTGAGTATGTAGCTCCTCTCTTCCCCAGACCAGCTGAGGGATGAGTCCAGCTTTCCTTTCCTGCCTGGGTGAGAACTACAGCTTGGGGAAGGACTTCCTGTGATTGTACTGCTCATTATAGCAAAGTTCACAAGGGGACATTCCCAAGCTCAGTGTGAAGGTTGCCTGAGATTCTGGTCTTGGAATGGAAGTCACAGCCTCCCCAACTCCCCCTCTGCAGGCTCAGCCATCTCTTCTCCTCCAGTCCCTCTGGCTGTGTGGCCTCAGCTGAGTCCCTCTCCCTCTCTGGACCAATTTCATCGAGTGCTTTGAATCCTCCCCTCAGGGTCCTTGCAGAGCAGGGAGCGTGTCACAAAGTGAAAACAATTTATGTTGACCTGCCTGGAGCACCTGGGGTGTTTGTCAGGCTTGGATGGGGACCCCTGAGGGACTGAAGAGGATATGTCACCAGGAGGTGACCCACCCTCCTTCCCCTTTGTGGGGATGTGGCCTCAGTTTCTTCATTTATAAATAGCATGATTGGTGGGTGTGTCCCTAGGTTGGAGAGAGATAGATAGAAAGATAGGACAAACTATGATAGGTAGGTAGGTAGATAGATAGACAGACAGACAGGACTAACTATACACAGAGCCTGGCCGGCAGCCGGGGCTCGCGGTGGGAACCACCCTCCTGATTGATGAGCAGAGCTCACATCTGTCCCTTGGGGTCTGCTGGGGCTAGAAGGTCCCGGGTCTGCAGACCCTTCACCCTTTGGGGAACCGAAGGGTGTGCGGAGCAGCTAGGACATGAAAGGATATGTGATCAAGACCCAGGGACAAGTACTGAAGCCACTCTGCTTCCCACAAACCTCCCCCATGGGACTTCCTCCTGTGGTCTCCGGCCCAAGGCCTGGAACCACTTTCAGGATGAGAAAAAAATGATCTTTCTCTGGGCAGAGAGCATGTCCTTTCCCTGTGCCCTGGGGTGCACCCTGAGGACTTGGGGAGGCATCCAGGACCCACCTGCCCTGAGAGGAAAGGAGCAGGAGGAAGTGGATTTCCTCTGTCCGTGCAAAATCCAGACACACTCTCACTGCAGAGGCTGCTGGGGGACCTGCTGTGGCTCCTTTTGGGGAGTGACGACCCTGCCTTGCTTTCAGATCACCCCCACTGAGCAGGGCTTGAGGAAGGTAACTCAGCTGGCGACCACCTACACCCAGGGATTTCTGGTCTGGCATGGCCCCACCCTCCCCATTGTCTTTTTCTGCCACCCTGACATGGTCCGGGCTCTCACCAGCGCCTCAGGTACCCACACAGAGCTTGAGGTGGTGGGTGCCATGCATAGCTGAGGTTTCTCACCTCTCCCTGCCAAGCTTCTGTGCAGCCCCTGCAGGACCTGGCCCCCTTCCCCTCTTCTCTTCCCGCTTAGCACCTTCCTCTTTCTTCATATATTCAAACTGCATCTCACCGCCTCCGCCCTCTAATGCCATCTGCCTTCTGCCCTGGTGTCCCGGGCACCACTGGGGCCCCAAGAGGCTTCAATCCAAGGCTCCGTCCTGGAGGAGCTTTCAGTCTTGAGGAGACGAATCAGGACAGAGGGATCCCCGACTTGGTGTGGTCGGAACTGGCCAGAGGCAGGTGGTGGCAGTCCAGAGGAGAAGTAAGGTCTCTGCTGGAGGCTAGAAGGCCTCCTGGAGGAGGGGCTGCTGGAAGTGGGTCTGGAACAACAAGTAGGACGTTTTTAAAGCAGACGTTTTAGAACAATGCAGTGGGTATTGTTAGCATCCCGGGCCCCTTGTTAACATCCCAGACCTGCCCCTTCTCCGCTCCCCCAAGGCCCGGAGCAATGAGGACTTGCTATTTCTGCAACGTCCACCTCTGGTGTGTTGGTTCCTCCTACCCTATCCTGCAGCTCATGCAGGAATCTCTCCAAGGAGAGCGAACCCCAGCCTGGATCTTGTCTTTTGCTCTCTACCTTTCTCACCCCCAGATAGATGAGGTTGAGCAGGGAAAAGGGCAGCATTTGACAGAGAGCGTGGCTCTGACACCAACGTTCTGGGTAATTCTGGGCTCTCATTGACTGCTGAGGTCTCTTTCAGTTCTGAGTGGTGAAAACTCAATCCTGCGTGGTCTAAGCAAAAAAAGGGAATCAACTGACTGTCAAGTCCAAGAATGTTGCTTTCAGGCACAGCTGGATCCAGGTGTCAATGTCCTCAGGACTGTCTTCATTTTTGAGTTCTGTTTTCCTCTGTGATTTCTTCACTCTCATGCTGGTAAAGATGAATCTGAGGAGCTCAACCCCTATGGAAAAGTGAGCTTATTCCCAGCAGATCCAGGAAAAGTTGCAGGTTCACTTTAATTTGCCAGGCTTGGCCCAGTTCCTTAGCCAGTCACTGCCACTCTGATTGCCCATTCTTGGCAGGCATAGGGTTCTCAGAGTTATTGTTTTGGAGTTGAAAGAAGTTCAATAGTTAAGAACTCAGGTCCTGGATTCGGACAGACCTGGGCTCAGGTCTCAGGCATGTCACTTACTGTCTGGGAGACCGTAGGCAAGTGACTTCATTGTTCAGAGCCTCAGTTTCCTTATCTAGAAAATGGGACAGAAGAGAAGCCAGGTGAGTGTGGTGCTTGGAGTCCAAATGAGAAAAGACACTGATTGTGGTATATTGAGGGTAGGAGGAGGGACCCCAGGAGGAGGATGCCTCACTGGGTAAGATTCACGGGGCTCAGGTCTGGATCTCTGTCCCGCACGTTCTTTCCTTTGGCCACCTAGAGAAATGCAAATTGGGCCCTCTTTGTTCCCCTTCAGATTCAGAGCTCGGAGGAGGGTCTCCTCTATACAGAGGGCCTGGCGAGCACCTATGGGGATGTGTGCTGCTGGTGGGTGGGGCCCTGGCACGCGGTCATTAGAATCTTCCATCCCACCTTCATCAAACCTGTGCTCTTTGCTCCAGGTAGGCACCCTCCGGCCACAGCTTGCTCATTATTGAGGTCTCTGTGCTGCTCCAGCTGGGCAGGTGACCCAGGTGCACACAGGAGGCGCTGTGGCAGAGAAGCCACTGTCTGCGTCTCACCTGGACCCCCACCTGCCCCACCTCTAGTCGTGTCTGCTCGCACCTAGGGTGTGCTTATGTGACGTTGTCTGTATGGCCATGCCTGGCCATGTTTATGTTTCCGCCTGTGTCCTCGTTGTAGCTGATACATGTTTATACCTGGGATGAAATGGAGATGGCCTCAGTCACATCTGGGGCCCAGCTTGGCCAATGACTTTTGAGGTATGTCGGGGCTGTCTGGTGCTTGTCGGAGATGCCATTTGAGATTGTCTTGTTTTGCTGCTGATCAAGTCTGGGCCATGTTCTGGATTTGACTGATGTCTGGGACCCAGGGTCCCTCTAAGAGATGTCTGAGGCTTTATGTGAGTCTTGTTCAAGGCAGGTCAAAGGGTATGTCTGGGTCACACCTGGTCTACATCTGTGACATTAATGGGACCATATTTAAGTTCTATCTAGGGCCCATTTGTGGGACACACTGAGGTCATGTCAGATTGTCTTTGCATCCATGTCAGAATATGTTGTGTCATGTCAGGATGTGTCACACATGTTGGATCCATGCCAGGACATGTTAAAGCATGTTGGGGCATGTCAGATGACCCAGGAGATGTCAGAGAGTGCTGGGGCAGATGGGGTGTCTGAGGTCCCTGTAAAGGCATTTTGTAGAGCACTGGGCTGTGCTCAGGTGTGTAGAACATGTTGGATCAGGTAGGAGCTATGTTAAGGCATGCTGGGCATGTTATGCCATGTTGAGGTGCGTCTAAGCAGGTAGGGGCATGTCTTTGGGCTCTGGCTTTGCTCTGCTCTGTGTTGCAGCCTGGTCTGGTTCCCCCTCCCCTCCCCCTCCCTGCCATTTCCTCTGCCCTTGTCCCATTCCTGCTGTGCTGGGCTTGGAGGGGGAATGCAGACCCCTGGCTGGGAGCCTCCTCCCCCTACCCAAAGTCCCTCTTCTCCCCCTCTCCATGGCCCTGATGGTTCTCATTCATGTCAGCTGCCATTGTGCCCAAGGACATGCTCTTCTATGGCTTCCTAAAGCCTTGGTTGGGTGAGTAACTGTGGGTGAAGGGCATTGGGGACACCTTTTGGGGGCCAGGGGAAGGCTCTGCCCTTGCCCACTCCCTGTGGCTGCCTCTACTAGGGGATGGGCTTCTACTGAGTGCTGGTGACAAGTGGAACAGTCATCGTCGAATGCTGACTCCCGCCTTCCACTTTAACATCCTGAAGCCCTATATGAAGATTTTCAATGACAGTGTGAATATCATGCATGTAAGTCTCTTGAACCCAGAGTCCCAGCTGGCGCCTCAGGGGTAATAGGGGCTTAGAGGCATTCTGACTCTTCTGGGTAGTTTTTAGGCTATTGCTCTTCCTTTCTGAGCCTCAGTTTCCTCAGCTGTAAAATGGGAATAACAGTCGCCATTTTGGAGTGTGGTCAATATGACATAATGGAGCCATGTCCTGATACATAGTAGGTGTGCAGAAGGCATTAGTTTCTATGTTTCCCCCATAGAAACCTCGGACTCCCGAGACATGGTTCCTCAATGGATGAACCTTGCACGGTAGTTATTGCTGAGTAACAAACCACTTCAAACAATAAGGGCTTATTATTGCCAACAAGTCTATGAGTCAGTTGGAGGGGGTTTTCTGATGTGGCCCTGGTTACTCATGTACCTGTGATCAGCCGAGGGGCAGCTTTGCTGACCCGGGCTCAGTCCTTTTACACGATTGGGTCTTGGCTGGCACATGCTGACCTAGGATGGACTCAGGTGGGACAACTGGACTTTGTTTCATGGGATCCTCTCTCCCCTTCATGGGCATTTCAGGCTGTTCACACGCAGAGGCAGGGTTCCAAGAGCGTGAGAGGACGCTGAAGTGCCACTTGAGATCTAGGCTCAGGATCATCACTTCCTCATTGTCACCACAGCCTATTGGCCAAAGCAGGTCAAAAGGCCAGCACATAATTAAATGGTGGTACAGCAGGCTCCAGGTCCTAGTGGGAACTGTTGAATGACCGCATTATAGAGTGTTAGGTGCTTGGCTGTGCTTGGCTGCCATACACACGGAAGTGAAGAATCGGAGGTAACGGTTTTATGAAGTGCCTGGGATTTTTCCAAACTCGCAAGCTGACAAGTGAGCTTGTAACTGTTTTGTGGATTCTGCCAGAAGACATGAGACTCCTGGGTCAGAGACAAAGGACAGTTTATTACTCCTGGCACAGCAACCAGCATGTGTTTCTGTTGGTCTGCATCCTTTCTCCAAGTCATCAGGTATCATAGGATGACACAGGTGGGCGTCAGTGAATATCTGCTCATGCCGTATGTTGCATTATGGGGGGAGGGTGCTAAGTTTAGGGACTCTGTCACTTTTAGAGCAATTGGAAGCAAGCTGATATTTGTGCAGAGGGAGAGATTACCTTATCCGTCAAGGTTTTTGGCTGCAAACACAACTCTGAGAGATAGCCGAGGTAAAGAACATCAAGGCATTGCATTTTTGGAACACGTTATCAAGAATGTGCAGTGGTGCTCAAGGACCATGGAGGGTTACTTCTCCCAACACAAGGGATATTTTCCTAATCAAATTATAACAACAAAAATAGTGAAAGCTTGCATTTATTGAACACTTACTATATGCCAGGAATAATGTGCCAATTCCATTACATGTGTTGTCTAATTTAATTTTTATAGCTCTGTGAGATAGAGATTATTTTTCCCCATTATGGATGATGAAACTGAATCTCAAATTGGTTAGGAGGCTTGTCCACGTTCAAACATCTAGCAAGTGATCTAATAAATGGATCTGGGATTCCAACTTGGTTCATTTAACACCAAAGCAGGTCATCTTAACTATTACTTAATATTTGACAGGTGAAGTCCAGAGCAGGCATACACAGAGCATAAGAAGCAGAGCTGAACCTTGGACCCAGGTCTCCTGACTGCCAGTCATGGGGTCTTCATGTTCCAGAGTAATAGTGTATACTCCCACTCAAGCCTGGTCCTCCCTGGGCATGAGTGCCTGGGACAGAGGACCAAGAGGCAGGGCCTGGGGGAGTCCATCCAGGTGGTTGGGGTTAGGGAAGGGCTCATGGAAGCCCCAGCTCTGTCCCCTTCTCTGTCCAGGCCAAGTGGCAACGCCTGATCTCAGAGGGCAGAACCCGTCTGGACATGTTTGAACACATCAGCCTCATGACTCTGGACAGTTTGCAGAAATGTGTCTTCAGTTTTGACAGCAATTGCCAAGAGTGAGTCTCTGCCCAGAGCCTGGGCACATGAGCCATAGACCAAAGGAGTAGATGGAGAGGGGACTGACCAGGGCAATCGTAAGGGCCTTCCTGGAGGAGGTGGGTCAGAGCTGGACATTGAATGACAAGGAAGGGGAAAAAGAAAGAGTGATCCCTTCAGGTAGGTAGAACTGTTTGATAAAGTCCAGGAGGCTAGAATGAGCAGAGTGTGTGAACAGTGAGGAGACAGCTTAGAAATGAGGTTAGAATGCTTAGCAGGGGTTAGACCTTTGGGCCATTAAAAAGCCAAGAAAAGGGGTATAAATTTTATCCTGAGGTTTCCAGGGAGCCCTGGAAAATGTTTGAGCAGATGAGGGTTGTGACCAAAACTGAGCTTTGACATCTGACTCCAGAGACGAGCAGTGGTTGTGTGGACCCCGGATGGTGTTGACACTGGATGCCAGGAGACTGGGGGCTGGGCCTGTTGACCAGCCAGGAGAGGATGCAGTCTATGTTGTGTGGGAAGCTTTGGGAAGGAGAGGGGCAGGCACTGGGTAGAAGAGAGACGCGTGATATCTAAGCTGTTCTCTGGGTGCCTGGGGCATGGAGGCAGCTCGGGGAGAGAAGAAAGTCTGGAGGGTCATATCTCCTGGGTTATCCCCACCATGTATCTGTTGGGCCACATGTTCCTGGATACTCAGTTTCCTCATGGGAGGTAGCTCCTGGCTTCTGGTGGGAGGTCCACCTAGGCTTCAGCTGAGCTAATTTGTTGCTTCCCTACCTGCCCTCACCCTGCAGGAGGCCTAGTGAATATATTGCTGCCATCTTGGAGCTCAGTGCCCTCGTCACAAAACGGCACCAACAACCCTTACTGTACACGGACTTCCTGTACTACCTAACCCCTGACGGACAGCGCTTCCGTCGGGCCTGCCGCCTCGTGCACGACTTCACATATGCCTGCATCCAGGAGCGCCGCCGCACCCTCCCTGATCTGGGTGTTGAGGACTTCCTGAAGGCCAAGGCTAAGACCAAGACTCTGGACTTCATTGATGTGCTCCTGCTGACCAAGGTGGGCTTCTCTGGCATCTGAAGAGGTAGAAGGAACCTTGATTTCAAATGTCAGATTGAAGAACTTGGATTTGATGCAGAGGGCACTGGGGAGCCATGGGGGGTGCTTGAGGAAGGGAGGGACGAGTCAGGGTTAAGTTTTAGAGCTGACCGTGTACAGTGCAGCCTGAATGGGATTGCTAAGTCTGAAACTGTGAAGGGCCTGAGATTTTATTCTACTTCCAAGTTAATAAGTTAGTCTACCATGGATATGGAGATATATATGCCAGAACCATGGATCAGAGCAACCCATCTATTACTCATAGCAGTAACAGTAGCCAGAGTAGAACTGTAGCTCTGGTTCCCCATCCCCAAATTCTTCTGAGGGCTACTTGATGCTTTTACCTGTACACGCAGCCGTGCTTGCATCCCAGGAGAGGTACCTGCACATTTTGAATCTTGGGATTTATATAGGACAGCTGACACATCTGCCCTTTCTTCACTATGGGGGACGGGGGAGGGGGGAAAGAGGGGGGAAGGTTGCTATATTGTTATTGTTTTGGAGCATAAACAAATCTTTTGAGAAGGCAAAGTCTATAGGTTCTATAGATTTACAACCCATTCCTTATCTCTAGGGCAGATAGAGCCTCTGGATTTCCCATCCTAGAATGTGAGCCATTGGTTCAGGAGCAATGCTCAATGTCTAACTTCCAAGGCAATTCAATCATCTGTAACCCAGGTTGCCAGTAACATTATTTAAATCAGAAAGCCCTCCTCACCAGGAGACAGTGAGGCCGCAGAGGAGGCCTGTGGGTTGAGGCCTCTGGTGCTGGTGAGAAAAGGAGGTCTAGGAGTGCAGTGCGGACTTGGGTTTCTGAATGGATGACAGAGCTTCGGAGATTGTCTCAGGGGCCCTCAGAGCTGGTGTGATTTGGGGAGTCTTCCTTTTTCAAGGATGAAAATGGGAAGGGACTGTCAGACGAGGACATCCGAGCGGAGGCTGATACTTTCATGTTTGAGGGTAAGGGTCCCAGTGTGGGATTACAGACGGGGTGGGGTCTGTCCATCCCAGGGACTTGGCAAGTCGCCCTGGGCCACCCCATCCCTCCTGATCCTCCCCACCCTCCCTGAGGGCCTCAATATAAGGGCACTGCCCACCTTCTGGTGCTAAAGCAGCCCAGAGACCCAAGCCTGTTTGACTGCCTCTCAGGCCATGACACCACAGCCAGCGGCCTCTCCTGGGTCCTGTACAACCTGGCAAGGCACCCAGAATACCAGGAGCGCTGCCGGCAGGAGGTGCAACAGCTCCTGGGGGACCGGGAGCCTAAAGAGCTTGAATGGTGAGTGGGGGTTCTCATGGCCCCTTCCTGAGGCCCTCTCATTGGCTCTGCTCCCGAAATGGGGAAGAGGGAAGGTCCTTTTGCTGATTCTGTCATTCTGTCATCCACTTAGTGGGAATGGAAGCAGAGCCCAGAGGCAGGGTCTGGTATCCAGCCTGGATAGCAGGAAAAAAGTTACAGGCTTTTGGGGCAGAAAGATCTGGGCCTGGAGAGAATTAGTGACAATGTGTGAGGGCAGATGATGCCACTTAACACATATTTAGTAAATTAGCTTTCTCTCCACTCCCTTTTCTCTCTGAAATCACTTTCCCCCCCAAATATCTTCACTACCTGAATCTTTGCTCATCTCCTGCCTCCCAATTCCTTCCATATTGTTTAGTCCAGGATTCACAGAGGACACCTAGGGATGAAAGTCACTCAGCGCTTGCCTAGGAACACCTGAATCTTCATCCTTCCAGTCCCTATTCAACAAACCTTGCACAGTGCCCTCCCAGCTCCAATTCTGGGCCATCTCCAATTCCTCCCAGCTCCATTCTGTGTCCTGGAGACCCAGGAAGGACCCAGAGCAAGCCTCTGCCTTCCAGGGGCTCAGCCTGGTGGGGGAATAGTCCCAGCTCAGGATTCTCCCAGTCCACACAGGCAGCGCTGGGGCTGACAGTAAGACGGGCAAGGCTGAGGGTGGAAAGAGCATGTCAGCTGAGCCCCTGAATGCCGATCAGTAGATATTTGCATGTATTTGGGGTGCAGTTAGGTAAAAAGANAGCCTGGATAGCAGGAAAAAAGTTACAGGCTTTTGGGGCAGAAAGATCTGGGCCTGGAGAGAATTAGTGACAATGTGTGAGGGCAGATGATGCCACTTAACACATATTTAGTAAATTAGCTTTCTCTCCACTCCCTTTTCTCTCTGAAATCACTTTCCCCCCCAAATATCTTCACTACCTGAATCTTTGCTCATCTCCTGCCTCCCAATTCCTTCCATATTGTTTAGTCCAGGATTCACAGAGGACACCTAGGGATGAAAGTCACTCAGCGCTTGCCTAGGAACACCTGAATCTTCATCCTTCCAGTCCCTATTCAACAAACCTTGCACAGTGCCCTCCCAGCTCCAATTCTGGGCCATCTCCAATTCCTCCCAGCTCCATTCTGTGTCCTGGAGACCCAGGAAGGACCCAGAGCAAGCCTCTGCCTTCCAGGGGCTCAGCCTGGTGGGGGAATAGTCCCAGCTCAGGATTCTCCCAGTCCACACAGGCAGCGCTGGGGCTGACAGTAAGACGGGCAAGGCTGAGGGTGGAAAGAGCATGTCAGCTGAGCCCCTGAATGCCGATCAGTAGATATTTGCATGTATTTGGGGTGCAGTTAGGTAAAAAGAGACAGCCTAGGCTAAGGGAAGGAGTGCGAGGAGAAGGGCAGAGGGGAGGGAAGGAGGAAGGAGGAGAGGAATGGAGGCAACTGGGGGAGGGGGGGGCGGGACTTTGAAAGCAATGTCAATGGCTTCCATTTTAGCCCAAGGACAAAGAGGAACCATCAGGAGTGTTTGAGCAGGAGGAGAACAGGTCAGATCTGGGTATGAGAGAGATCTTTAATCTGGGCTTGTTTGGGGGACATACTGGAGAGGACATGCTATAGAATGGGGGCCCAAGCAGGAGATTCTGAGGCCTCAGCCAGGCTGGGGGCTGGGGCACTGAGGTGGCATTAGGCTGGACAGGTGTTTTGGAGGTAATGTTCTCCAGTCCAAGCCTTTGCTCAGCACAGCAGTCCTGTGGGCCGGAGATAAATGTTCATGCTTTTTCAACCAAGACTTCACACACAATGATGCACTTAGTTCAAAAGAAAAGAGTACAAGAGTTTATAATAAAAATAAACGTCCTCCTTAATCCCCACCCTAGGAGTAATTTCCACTAATGATTTCCTGTGTGGCCTTTCAGGGGTGGTGTTTTGTAGTTTTCCAATTTTGAACCAGTTAACTATACCAGCTATTAAAAATTTAAATCACCACACAGCCCGGCCCGACGTGGCTCAGCCGTTGAGTGTTGACCTAGGATCCAGGCAATCGGGGTTCGATTCATGGTCAAGGCACATGCCGGGGTTATGTGTTTGATCAATGACTCATCATTGATGTTTCTCAATGACTCTCTCATCATTGATGTTTCTATCTCTCTCTCTCCCTCTCCTTTCCTCTCTCTGAAATCAATAAAGATATATTTTAAAAAGTAAATAAATAAATCACCACACAAAAGAAGGGGATTGAAGAAAATGAGTTTAGCCCCCTTATTGGATCTTCAACGTTTATACAAGTTTTCCAGTGGATTCTCTTGTGTTTTCTAAGTATGAAATCACTATCTGCCAAAAATGACACATTTACCCCCACATTTCAAAGTCCATTCCTTTCCTTTTTTATCCCTTGTCTAACTGCATTAGCTACTATCGCTAGCACCATAATAAGTAAGAGTAAAATATTGGATCTGGTTTTCTTCCTTCTTACTCACTTGCCTTTTGATTTTGCTCTCTTGCCATAAAGAATATTTTATTTTTGTGCAAATTCATAATCCTTTTTATGGTTGATGTTCTTGTGTTGGTTTGCTCACAAAAGCTTCTAAAAATCCCCAGCTCAATTTTCTCTAGTACTTCTGCGACCCTGATTTTCTTTTTTTTAAATTTAAACCACTTTGTTGAGTATGATTGACATACAAAAAGCGGTTTCTATTTAATGTACACAACTTAATGAGAGTGAGATATTTCATCCATCTGGAATTTATTTTGTTACTGAGACAGATCTGGTGGAGCTGGGGAGGGGGGTTTTTGGTTTTGCTCCCTGGGTGACTGTCGTGGGGTCCCTTAGGGACGACCTGGCCCAGCTGCCCTTCCTGACCATGTGCCTCAAGGAGAGTATGCGCTTGCACCCCCCAGTCATCGGCATCTCCCGCTGCTGTACCCAGGACATTACGCTCCCTGATGGCCGGGTCATCCCCAAAGGTGAGGGCAACGCCGGGGGAGGAGTCACCCCAGCAGAAAGAGGGGCCCACCACGCAGGGGGACCTCTTCCTGACTGGCCCCTCCTCTCCCACAGGTGTCACCTGCCTTATCAGTATTTTGGGGACTCATTACAACCCACACGTGTGGCCAGACCCTGAGGTGCCGCCTCCCCCTTCCCTCCCCCTTGCCCGCTTCCCTTGGGGGACCAAGGGGAGGAAGCAGGGCTCTGCCCTGGCACATCGTATCACGGCCCCCCATCCTGCACACGCCTGCTCTGCCAGGCTGGCTGGCTCGGGGCCCCACCCAGCAGCCCTGTCTGGTCTCGCCCCCAGGTCTATGACCCCTTCAGATTCGAGCCAGAAAACGTCCAGAAGAGGTCACCTCTGGCTTTTATTCCCTTCTCTGCGGGGCCCAGGTGAGGGCGGCGGGCGTCTGAGGCTGGAAGGGGGGCAGGGATCATTGCCTGAGACCCCAGGCGCGCCCCTGATGGGGGGGGGGCTCTCCTGCCCTTCCCTCCCCCAAGGCCACGGGTTAGGGTCTGGGTTCCAGGAAGGGACCCCAATGTGCTCAGAGCCCCTTCTGCCCGTGGGCTGGTCTGAGTCCGTCGCTGGAGCCAGGGGCCATGCCCGCCCGCCCGGGGTCCCGGGCACTGTAGCCCCCTTCCCGCTCCCTGCGGACGCGTGAGGGTCTCGGGCGGGTCCTGGGCGAAACCTGAGCCCCGCTCCCTCCCCGCAGGAACTGCATCGGGCAGATGTTCGCCATGGCCGAGATGAAGGTGGTCCTGGCGCTCACGCTGCTGCGCTTCCGAGTCCTGCCCGACTCCGTGGAGCCCGAGCCGCGCAGGAAGCCCGAGCTGATCCTGCGCGCCGAGGGCGGCCTCTGGCTGCGGGTGGAGCCGCTGAGCGCCGGCCCGCACTGACCCGCACTGACCCGCGCCCCCTGGCCCGGCTTCACCCTTGACCCCACGCACCTCCCCCTGCACATTCCCAGGAATAACACTGCTGTGCCCTCTGCCCCAGTGTCCCCGAGAGCCGGTAGGAAGCGGAGGCGCTGGAGGCCTGCAGGGACCCAGCGGCTGGGTGTACCTGGGGGGAGGGGGCCCTAGTGTCTCTGAGCCCTAGACCCTGACCACCTCTGCAGCTGACCACAGGGCCCCACGCGGATCGAGGGTTCTCCCAGAGACCAATTATAGATTTTGTCCTGTGGGGAGGTGGGAGCCATGGGAGGTGTTTGAGCAGGAGGAAGCCCCGGGTTAAAGGACTTAAGGGGCACAGTTGAGGTTCTATATCACAAAGGAGAACCCTTCGAGGCAGATTCGTTCCTCTGAGCTAAGGGTGCCTCCCAAAACAGATCCCTGGCCAGCCCAGAACACAGGAGACTTGGCATCCTCTCCAGGACTCAAGTTCCCTTCCTGCTCTTGTCAACAGCCCACCCCTGTGTCTGCCCCTCCCAGTCTGTCTCTCAGGTGACCCCCCTGCCCAGCCTTTACGAAGCTCCTCTCTTCCCTTTTCTGGACCCCTAGATGCTGCCCAGGCAGCCTGTCCAACAGATACTGGTTGCGCCCCCACTGTGTACCAGGCACTCTCACCGGAGTGTGCTTGGAGTGTGTGTGTGGGGGGAGGGGGGACTCATCCCTGACCTTTCACCTCCAAGTTTCTCCTTGGGGTGGAGTCGGGGAGGGCCATCCCTTGACTCTTGAAATTCAAAGCCAGACCATCAGAAACAAAAATTGCCCCCAGGAGTATGGGTTCCAGAGTCAGACTGCTTGGGCTTAAGTCTTAGCTCTGCTGTGTGACCTGGGCAAGTCAATTCCCTTTCTGTGCCCCGGGTTCCTCAACTATGCAAAGGAGACACAGCAGTGCGAGCCTCAGGGAGGATTACCTGTGCCTGGCACACAGTAAATGCTCAATAAACGTTGCCATTATTACTTTTTCTCTCAGAAAGCCTGGTTCTTCTTAAAACTTTTTTAAAAATTTATTTTTTAATTACAATTGACGTTCAATATTATTTTGTATTAGTTTCAGGTGTACAGCATATTGGTTAGGCAATCAAATACTTTACAAAGTGACACCCCCCCCCCCCCC